GCTCATAGATGACAATCGTCGCGCATCCGAAGCATCTCTAGATCCACCGAGCAGGGATCCTGTAGCCGCCTTCAAGGCCATCATGGGGGGCAAATCAGATGCCGACACGACAAGCCAGAATCGCGCACAGCAGCCCCATGGCCATGGACGCCACCCGGGACTGGCGGGTGCTCAGAACCATCCTCAGGCGGGTGCTGCGGGCGGCAGAGCTGGTGGGCCAGGAGCTCCGGCTGCCATTCGACAAGCCAGCCAGCGCAATACGCGTACACGTCCGAGCGCAGCTTCCTCATCACACCCCGCTCACGGCCAGACGTCAGGACCTTCGTTTGCGCCTTCATCAGCAGCACTTGTAGGATCTGCCCTCGACGACTCTAGCGACGCTGATTTGACCAGGATGCACTCGCGCGATGTCGCACCCCTGCCTTCATTGCGCGAGGGCGAACAGCTCAGCACCGCAGCGGAGGCAAGACGACCGTCCTTTGTCCCTTCCAGAGACCAAGTGCCTTCCTTCAACGGCCCGTCACGCTTTCCCGGAGGCTTGGAATCTTCTGGACAACCTTCGATGCGGCTACCCAAGCCTGCGTCGGAAGCAGCAGAATCGCATGAACAGGCTTCGACACTGGCAGAAGCTTGCGTAACGCCGCGACGAAACGCCTGGACCCGCTGGCGGTGGCGATTCAAAGAATTCTCCGCAGAGTTGGTCGCAAGCATCGTGCTCTTGGCCGTGGGCACGAGTGTCAATTGCCAAGTCAAGCTGTCTCAGGGATTGAGCCAGCCCGCGGGCTCGTATCCATCCCAGAATTGGGCTTGGGGCTTTGCTGTCATGTCCACCATTCATCTTGCGGGCGGCATCTCTGGCGCACATTGCAACCCTGGCATCACCCTTTCTCTCGCGCTGTTTCGAGGTGCGTACAGAGCGCTTCTTGATCCGTGCGCGGTCACAAGCTCATGGCTGCGTTTGCACACAGGCTTTCCCTGGCGCTTGGTCCCCATCTACATTCTTGCTCAGCTGCTCGGCAGTTTCATCGGATCTGGCCTAGGCTATGTCCTTTACCAACCCGAGATTACAGCGTATCAAGGCGGGCCAAGTCGGACTATCGTGGGAGATCGTGAGACCGGTAGCTTGTTTGCTACAGTTCCGGACTCCTACGCCGCCAATTGGAGCGCGTTTGTCAACGAAGTAGTGGCCAGTGCCATTCTTGCCATGCTTGTACTTGCGATCGGTGACGATAGCAACAGCCCTCCCGGTGATGGCATGTCCGGTCTCATCCTGGGCCTTGCTGTAACCATGATTGGCATGGCGATGGGTTGGCAGGTGAGTGCGGCCTTCCTGGACGGCGACAGAGAATCGCCGCTCACTCATGCCGCATCTCCCGCAGTCTGGCTATGCTGTCAATGCTGCTCGTGACCTTGGCGCTCGGATCATGCTATCGTGCGCAGGCTACGGCAATCATGTGTGGACACACAATGATTACTGGTGGATCTACGGACCGGTCAGTAGTGCTGGGCGCAATGATTCGCGAAGATGCGGCAAGCTCATTCGTCCCTCGTCCCACAGATTGCGGGTACTCTATCGGGCGCGATCCTTGGCTGCATCATCTACGACCTTGCGATCTATGCAGGTGACGCATCGCCTTTGAACCGAGAGTGGACACGAGCGCACAGCATGGTGGCCGCTGCTCGGAATGGAGCGCGACTTGCGCGCTTCACGCCAAGGACACGAGGGGATGCGTCGATTGTTGAATGCGGGCAAGCAGCCACAGCACCGTCGTTTCAAGCGGCGCCTGCGCCTTTGCCGTCCTTTGTCTCTGCGGCCGACTCTGCAAAGGAAGAAGTGCGCCGTCGGTGGAGGGACGATGACGACGCAGAACGAGGGAAGCGACAATTGGAGGTGATACCGGAATCCAGACGAGCTTCGCTCAACCGTGGCGCCGAGAAAGACGGCGAGGCCACGTCGTGACCAAAGTCACAGCTGAGAGCAGATTCTGAATTACAAAAAACATGCACGCAAACGACTTTCTCCGCACTTTGCATACTCACAGTGACTCTACCTACTCATGACTGACCTTTCATACACGCACATCTCATATCCAGACACGAACACGCCTCAGTTGCATTACATCGTCGCGCATGACATTGCAGATTCACATACTTTGCAGATATCGCTGGCTTCTCTCGCATGATCGTCTCGAGTCGTGTACAACTTGTTCATCCAATCTTCGATCTCCAACCAGGGGCCCTCTCGAATCCGTCTATGTTGCAAGCAGAAAAGCGGTGTCAGAGACGCTACTTCAAGCAGAATGATCACGTCTACTCACTCTTTCCGCCGGCATAATCCTGAAAAGCTTGGTAGATGTCGGCTTTGCTAGTCATAACAAAGGGACCGTGCTGCACCACATTCTGTTTGAGCGGCTCGCCAGCAATGATGACGAATCTGGCTTCTTCTTGCACATCGCCAGCGTGCTCGATCCAAGCTCCATTCTGCGTGGCGTCTTGCGAGCC